GGTCCCTTCCAACCCTAGAAACTATGAAACTATGAAATATTTGAAGCTGTTGGAGGTGGCACATTGAGGTGAAGCACCAGGGAAGCTCTAGAGGAGTGAAGCCACACTCCCTCACTCCAGAGGAGTGGAAGCCTCCTCCCTCACTGGACAGGAGATGCAGTGGATGTCAGGTGGCAAGCAGTTTGGCCTGAGGGACTCCCAGTAACTTGGCTGACCCCAGGTGGGCAGGCAGGTAGCGCCTAGGGAACTGGGAGGGGAGTAGCCAGAACCAAGGAATGAGGCTCAGAAAGAAGCAGGAGGTGGGGAAGGCCTGCAGCAGCTGGTGCCCTCAGGCTTCCAGAAGGGCCACTGCACTGTTTGGAATGACTCACCAAAGGAGCCGTGGTTTTGTTTGTTTGGACTTGTGACCCTTAAAAAGTAAGGCTTTGGAACAGGGTCCAGCGTTCTTTAAAGAGACAATGCTAGAGGCAAAGGAGAAAGGGAAATCAGAGAAGCTACAGCATGAGGCTTGAAATAAAAGCTGTCAACATCTGCTACAGAACACCTCACTTGCAGGCGTGTGGGAAGGGTGTACGGGAGGTGGAGCCCCACAAATACATCTGGTGGGACTCTCCTTAACCTGTGAGATGGACTGCCTCGAAGACCAGGTATGTTCCCATTCACCCCATTCTATCATTTAAGACCAAGGCATGAGAGCCAAACCCAGGGGTGATCAGAATGGAGGGCAGGGCTATCAGTTAATACTTCTGCCACTGGAGGGTCCTAACCTTTGCTCCAACTACAGCTAACCTCCAGAGACACCCAGGCATCTTATTCTGTTCCTACAATTAGGGTGCTTACTTGTCCAGAAAGGGTAGCAGAATTGTTCCTGCACTTCAGTTGGGGTAATTCAAGTATTAGACTCCAGCTGCACTTAGACTGCCCACTAGGGTGAGGTAGCATTCTGCTAGCAATGGCCTGCTGAGAGGTGATAGCCCTGAGATCAAGCCCAGGGACTCCCCTTTCCCAGACAAGTGCCTTGTTTCCTGCCCAGTGCTGCTTCACTTTCACTAGACAATTCTTGAAGCAAGATCTGGCTTTGAAAAGTACTCACAAAGAACAGCACATGGGGCTTCGTTTTTATTCCATCTCTGAACCACTGAACTCAAGTAAAGGGAGGGCTTTCACACAGTCAAAACGGGCTCTTTCCACCTTGTACCTCTTTCTTGGTACATCTAAGCTGCAACGTCCCACTGGAGCATTCAGTGCAGAGCCCCTCAGTCTCAGGGTCCTGCAATGAGGACTTTGCTAACAATTCAGCTGGCAGTGCATAAACCTAAATAGAATGTAACTCCCTCTGCCAGGGCTGTGCGTGGGAGGGTGAAGATAGCAGGGAGCTCATCAGTAGCTTCAGCAGCTCAGGTTCTGCTACAGCCAGGGAGCCCATCTGTGGAGCAAAAGGCAGTTTTCTAGCCTGTCTACCATCTAATAATAAATTAATAATGATAGTTATATAATTTATATAAGGTTCTCCAACTTCAAATAATTTTGAATCAAATGGCTTTATCATTAATTAAAATAATATTCATCATTTGATAGAGAGGTTGAGGCAGGAGAAAGTTAAGAGTATCGGCCAAGGAGAAACAGAAAAGCTCCTGGTTCCCAGTCCTGTGTGCAGACCTCCAGATCACACTTTTCCCTATCTCCCTGTCAGACAAGAGCTGGTTCTGGATCACACCAGTCTGTAGGTGATCCCTGCAACCACATTAGGAGCCATTCTACCCTGGTGCCTTGCAGTTCGTCATCAAATGATCCACCTGCTGCCCTACAAATAATCAGGCTGAGGGCTATGTCCAGATGTCAGGCACAGTGGAGGTTGGGGGTTTCTTACCTGGGCTTGCAGCTGGATTCTCGGCCTTCTTCTCTATTAATGAAAAGAGGGGATAGGAAGTTACTGAGGCAGGAAACACAATCACTGGCTCATTTAGGCTATGGCTCTAAGCAAAGAGTAACTTAACACCCCTCTCACCCCAGAAGCAGACAGCTGATGTCAGAACATGGCTCTCTACTCCATACGTACAGGTTTCCCATAGCCTAAGGGCACCCAAAATGTTTGTCACAGAGGGCCAGATGGACAGCTGCCCAGGAACCAAAGCATTCCCCCTCTCTCTTGGGCGAAAGCTTGGAGTGAGTCCTTGTTCCTGAAGCCAGAGTAGGCTAGGAGTGATTTAATTCATCAATAGGTGAAACCAGCTTAAATGCTCCATACAAGGATACTAAGTGTGGTCTTTAGGTATTGTGGTTGTGAGTACACTCTTTGAAGGTAGATAGCCAGACGGCTAGTTATGTGCCTATAAACACACTGCTTATGCAAGCAGAAAGGATGGATTTCAGGAGTTGGCCCATCTTCTACATCACTCCCTAGATTTGCACCTTCCACAGCAGGGGGTGTGGAAGATGCTTGATAAGTAAATCTGTCACCGGAAGTGATACACAATTGGGAGCCATGTGACCCCTCATTCTTATCCATGAACTCTGTCAGGGATCAAAAAGCATCTGCCTTCAAGAACAGATTCCCCTCTAGCCCCTTCCTGGGTGACCTTGTTTGATGTGGGCACAAAGCCCTTAGGGCTGGCTTTACCTTTACAATGGCCATCATAGTCCACCTGGATCTTGGAGCCAGTGAGGCAGGCGTCACGGTGTAATTCACAGTGGTTCAGGTAAGTCTTGCCATTGCTGCCGCACACAGGCCGCTTGTGAGCTTTGCATTGCTGCAAAAGAGCCCCCAGAGGGAAAGCCTTACCCCCTACCCTGAATCCCAGGACAGCCTCAGGTCTCAGAGTCATCTCATCTCTGGTGCATTCTACATGGCCACAGGACTAGGGCTTGAGAGACAGGACCGCAGACTCATAGATAATGAGGGCTGGAAGGGACCTCAGGAGGTCATCTAGGCAAACCCCCTGTTCAAAGCAGGACCATCCCTAACTAAATCATCCCAGCCAGGGTTTTGTCAAGCTAGCTCTTAAAAACCTCCAAGGATGGAGATTCCACAGCCTTTACTATTCTCCTAGTGAGAAAGTTCTTCCTAATCTCTGGGCTAAACTTCCCTTGCTGCAATTTTAGACCACTGCTCCTTGTTCTGTCATCTGCCACCACTAAGGACAGTCTAGCTCCAACCTTTTTATAGCCACCCTTCAAGGTAGTTTAAGGCTGCTATTAAGACGCTGACTACAGGGACCTTGAGAAGCTCATGTAGGACCAGAGATGTGGGTGCCGAAGGATCGTAGACATCTGATGACCCCAAGCTTCACAGTGCTTAAAAGCAAATCGATGATGTAGAGGCACCCCATGGAAAATGCTAGCTCTTAGTTTTCACTCATTTTTTTACTACAGAAAAATTCTAGAGCAGTTTTTCTGTCTGAAAGGAAGAGGAAGACCAAAACAGATCAGAATGTTTTTAATACTGTGGATTCTTATTTGAAATCCTTGGATTTATCTCATGAATCATGTTTGCCCACTTAACAGTGCTAACCCTGTGTGGCACCCTACAGCACCCTTGAAAGGATCTCAAGGCAACACAGGGTGCCATGACACACTGGCTGAGAATCACTCGTCTATACAGTCAACTTCCAGCCCTGACAGTGGTGCCCCTAGGTGATCTATGCAGCTATGGGCTGCCTGCTTTTTAAGCAGAAGCTGTGTCACTGCCTCCACATGACAACTGGGAGTGAACTAATTGGCATGCTCACTTAACATAGCTAATTAGCCCACCCCATGCTAATTAGCTTGCCGATGCAGCTATGGCCCCACTGCTTTTGGTTTATCTTGCCCACAGTGCCAGCACAGTTGATAATTTACTGAACAGTCAGAGCTCAAGTGTTCCTAAGGCTGGAAAAAGCTCACCTCTTCATCCAAGCATCCTTGCACTACACGCAGCACTCTGAACTGCTTTTCTAACATGTGTACATGGGCCATTCTTACAGCAGGCTGGCTCAGAGAACAGGCACTACAGGGATTCCTGTGCCAGGCCAACTGAATGTTTGCATGCTGCTGTATCCTTCCCCATATGAGGAGTCATCTTGCAGGGTCTCCCCTACCTGGAAAGTCAGAGACACAGGGCAGGGCTTCACACTAAAGGGTTACAAACATCCAGGTCACAGAGATGAGAGGGATTTTTATTTGCCTTCCCTCAGAAGCACTGGGTGGTGACTGCAGTTGAGGCTAGGGATTTTAATTGGGGTGTGCTGATGCTCCTGCTAGGGCTTAAAAACTAGAGGTTCCTGGTTAGAGGGTCCTGCCCTTCTGCTCAGGGTCAAACTGATCACCACATTTGGGTCAGTCCATAGGCTCCATCCCATATGGGATCAGTACATGGGGTTTGTCCATGGTTGTGATCCAGCACTCTGGTGTGACTCCACATGTCTGCATCCAGCCACACGCCAGTGCAATCTAGTTCACAGGGCCTTGCTATCTGGCCCACAGGGTTTCCCACAAGTCCAAAAATTTGGCAGCAAAGGAGAGGCAATTAATGCTGCGACTGCTCCTCTGCTGCCATATTACTGGACCCCTGGGCAGCCCCATGGGCCAGATGACATGGCTCTGCAGGCTAGATCTATCCCACAGGCTGGGGGTTGAGCACCCCTGCTTTAGAGTATTTTAACAAACTATATCCTGGTCCTTGGAGTGGCAGGACATGGACAGTGCCCTCATTCCCTGTTTTACTTGTGATAAGTTAAAGTGTGTTTTTGATATCCTGGACCTTGTGCCTGGTAGTTGTGCATGAGCGTGAGGGCTGTTCCCAAAGCTTTCAAAAACAGGTCAGAAAGTGCTTTGTTGGTATGGTCTGGATAAGGATGATCCTGCCTTGAGCAGGGGATTGGATTAGATGTGATCTCCTGAGGTCCCTTCCCACCCTACTTTTCTACAAACAGAACAGTTGGAGACGTTTCCTCTGGCATCTCCAACCCAGTAAATGGTGGATGCAGTGTCATTGCAATGAAATTTTGCACCTGGGACAAAGCCCGTAGCGGAAGCCTGCCCTCACCCCATGCACAGATCAGGGGGGCACCCCCCCCCCATGCTTCCCTGGGAGTGCATGCAGCAGCAGGATCTGCTCTCCCCCTGCCCCCAGATGAGCCGCTCATGGCTCTGTCTTGTGTCCTGCCTGGGCTGGGAAGCACCTGTTGACACCCCTTTGCATTAGCTCTTGAGGCAGTCGCCCCACTCACCCTGCCTCCCCCCGCCCCAATGGCACTGGGTGGATGCCAGGCTGGGTACTGGACTAGGGAGTAGATCACTCTAGTGCAGGGGCTGGCAATTATTTTGGGTAGAGGGCCACTTACTGAGTTTTGGCAAGCCATCGAGGGCTGCATGACAGGCAGCCAGGGGCAGATATATATTAATTTTCTAAAATTTTTAGGGGTCCTGCAGGCCAGATACAATGGCCTGGCAGGCTGCATCCGGCCCGCGGGTTGCATTTTGCCCACCCCTGCTCTAGTGCTATCCAGTTCAATGCTATTGTATAGCATCCACACTTGCCACAATGGGATATGGAATACCAGGCTAGATGGTATTGGTAACCCAGTATGGCAGTTCTTATATCCTTATGGCTCTTACCCCCATACCCAGGTCAGTGCCTGCATGCTAGTTCTCAGCCACAGCAGACAGAACTGAATAGTGGCAGGGCACTGGAGGCTGTTGCAGGTAAAGGGAGCCTGTTTCTGATGCATGAGAGGAGACCGTCAAAGTGAATTACTGAGGCTGTGAAATGATGCATGGATATGGAGGTGAAACTAGCTGGGAACTGTAGACAGAAGGTGCTTCTTAATTTGGGACTGACTAAGAACAACTCCCAATGAAGCCCCACTGGCTCCTGCTCCAGCCTCATGGATCTTTGGTTGGGTCCTGCCTGTTATCCAAGCTCTCACTGTCCCTCCCCACCACAGCATGTGGCAGCTGCTCTGGGCCCTACCTCAATGCAGAGGCAGGTGGGCTCTCCCTTCTCCGTCACTGCACATTCCCGCCCGGCTCCACAGAACACATTGGCGCACACCTTGGATTTGCTCTTGGGCTCTTCCTGTGAGATACAAAGTAAAAGAAAGAGGACGGGTTACTCAAAACAGCACACAGGTCATCCCACTGTCTCTCTGCACCACTATGCTAGTCCCGGTCCTCCTGTTTCCACTGGTGGCAATTCCCATGCACTGCAGAAGAAGAGTACTTATGCTGGACAATTACACAGTTGTTTTCCTGGGGGGGAGGGAAGTTTCTGTCTTGTCCCAGGCAGTTAGTGGTTGACTTATGCCTCGAGGCAGGCTGATTTAGAAACCTCATCTATTTTTATGTTGGTTGGTGTCACGGCAAAAATTCTTCTTACTCATTCAATCCTTTCCTGAATCCTATTAAACTCCTGGACTCAGTGTCAACCAGAGGCACTGACTGCTATGGGTTAACAGCACCTTTTATAAAACAATGCTAAAATTTCTCATTTTTGATTTGGTTTCTATTTGCTACCTTTTAATTGCATTCAGTAGCTCCCTTTCCTTGTGCTCTGAGAGACTATGATAGCTCACTAGCAAGGGCACTGGCCCTAGGGAGACCCAGGTCTGGTTCCGTGTTCTCCCATTGACTTCTTGTGTGACCTCAATTTCCCAGCTGTACCTTGGGGTAACAGACCTGCCCCACTTCATCTTGTAAAGGTAAGTACAGGAAATAATACAAGGTTAACACGGGCTGTGTTAGTACCCTAGACAAGGTAAGTAGGAGTGTGGGATGGACCTTCTCAACTCCAGCCATTATTTTACATTTCTTTATCCCCTCGTTTCTATTTCTCTCCCTGCCAACCTAAGAAGCAAGAAGTTTTCTAGTCTCCCATCTGACAGCTGATCCCTGCCTCAGAAATGATTGCTCTTGTTGTTTATTTCTACAGTGCGATGTGGAGAGGAGGTGACTGGGACTGTACACAGCATTTCAGCTGAGGGTGCCCTATTGATTTATCTAACAGTTTCCTAACATTTCCAGTGCTATTTTTGGTCCCACTGTGCATGCACCCTAATAGGGTTTTTTTGCTTGTTTTTAAACCACTGCAGCATAATGGAGCTGGCATTTTTATTGAGCTGCCTTTAGTGATTTTTCTTTTTAAAATTACTCTGCACTTCTCTGTAGAAAGTCTCATCTGTCATCCTGCTGCCTGTTCCCCTCACTGGGCTGGGCCCCTCCAAAAAGCTGCATAATCCTCTCTTCACTGAACTAACTTGAATACATATTGTATCAACTGCTAATGTTGCTGCTTTTCCTCTTCATCCCTTTCTTCAGATAATAAATAAATGTCTAGGGAAGTGATAATTCCCCTCTATGCGGCACTGGTGAGGCCGCAGATGGAATATTGCATCCAGTTTTGGGTGCTGCACTTCAAGAGGGATGTAGATAACCTTGAGAAGGTCCAGAGGAGGGCTGCTCGTATGGTTGAGGGCCTGCAGGTAAGACCCTGAGAAGACAGACTGAGGGACCTGAATCTCTTCAGCCTCCACACGAGAAGGCTGAGAGACAATCTTGTGGCTACCTACAAACTCATCGGGGGGGGGCAGCAGGGAATAGGGGCACTCTGTTTACCAGGGCGCCCCTCGGGGTTAACAGAAATAATGGCCACAGACTGAAGGAAAGTAGATTTAGATTGGACATAAGGAAGAAATTCTTTATGGTGAGGGTTGCCAAAATATTGAATGGACTTCCAAGGGAGGTGGTGCTTTCCCCTACCTTGGAGGTGTTCAAGAAGAGATTGGATAGGCATCTGGCTGGGGTACTTAACCCCAGCACTCTTTCCCGCCTGGAGTAGGGGGTTGGACCCGATGACCTGCCAGGACCCTTCTGATCCTAGAAATCTAAACATCACCAGTCTTAGTGTGGAAATATTGGGCACTCCTTGGATGACCACAATACACAAGAATAAATACTGATTTCTTCCTAGTCAATGTTTTTTTCTCCTATTTTCTCACAATTACTTTCTAGTTCATGACAGTACTTTCTTTCTCCCCCATAAATATGAGTCCTTAATATTCTCTGTAAGAGGAACAGGTTAGCTCAGAGGAGTCAAACTTACAGCCTGCAGAACCATGTCACGTGGCCCACAGGGCTGGTAAAGGCACCAGCTGGCAGTGGGAGCTGGGAATGGGAGGTGGTAGTCAAGGAGAGGGGTGGTTGTGTTAACCCCTGGCTGCCACACACCCACCACTGCCACTGCATCCAGATCTGCCTGGGAGGGCAGGGCAAGTGTGACACTCTTGGGTAAAATAAACAAATCAAACTTTTTCCCTTTTTGATTTCTGTTCTAGGAGCCATTTTACATTCTGCTGAATGTCTTTGCTTCTGGAGTGGACACCGTGGCTGTTTAACAGAAGCAAAACTATGCAACAGGATAGGACAGGGAATGAGTAATATTTTCATTTATGAAAAGCATAAGGAAATGTTTAGGTTGGACAAATGGAGTAAAAAAGCATGCTGCATGATCTCTAATGATCTATTTGAGATTTTTCTGCAATGCCCATTGTTGCACCAAACTCGGGGTCTGGAACAAAAAAAAAACAAAGTTTACACCATATTTTGAAATTGAGTCAACCAGGGCTGCAATTCAAATGCCTGGTGACAGGTGGCAGTATTGCCCCTCCGCCCACTCACTCCCATGTGTTGGTCTGTGCTGAAGCTCAAACGTGTCTCCGGTTCTCATTAGGCTGAGGTTTAGACGGAGGACAACTGGAGCTGCTGCCGCTATGGGCACTTGGCAGAGACTCTGCTAAGGATTCTCCACACTCCTGATCCTGCCTAGTCTATACATCCTGGGCAGCAGCTCTGAGCGGGTTCCCCTGGTAGCTGAGCTGGGACGCAGCCAGGGGGCGGGTTGGAATGCTGGCAGGAGCACACGGCAGGAAGTGATCCTCAAGATCAACTTGCCTTTTTCATGTCCAGGTGACAGATTGGGAATAGTTGCTCCAATTCTTCTCGTTAGGCAAAATGAGGTGGTTTGGGGTTTTAAAATTAACCTGTGTGGGCCATGCATGGTGTGTCAGGCCAGAACTTAAATCCTGGCTACTCTGAGTGAAGGTCAGGCTGAAAATAAAATCAGGTCTCAGGATGGTGCCTTAGGGATGGCATGCTTCATTAGGCCTCAACCTTCCTGCCTCTGGCTGCATCCAACCCATATCCCAAGCAATCACTGGCAGGAATCCCCAGTGTGGAGTCTTGGGTACCACTCAGTGGAGGGCACAGAATACTGCAGTGGTAAAAGCACTTGTGCCAGTCAGGGCTCTCAGGCTCAGCTTCTGGCTCTGCCAAATGCTTCTTGGTGACAGCAAGAAAATCAGTGCTAACTGAGGGACTTCCCTATGATACCTGGTGCTTCTTTTACTTCAAGCTCTACCTCCTGGAGTCCCAGGAATAAGCAAGAATCTCAGCTTTGGTTTAGTAGCAGAGACAGTCCTGATGGTCACTAGAAACACACAAAAGGATATACCTGCACAGCCCAAATACCAGAAAGCAAACAAAGCAGATCACCTTGTGTTATGGTTTTAAATACAATCACTGTTAAGCGAGTCTCATGATTTGGGGAGGGTGGGGGGAGGAGCTGACTTGTGATTTTAGCTACCTCTTCCTTTTTCTCTGAGGGTCAGTATCTCACCTGTTGCAGCAGGTTGGGTTGATGTGTTCTTTGAGCATGTACAGACATTTGCTTTGCCAGGACAAAATCTTGCAGAAGTTATTTAAGTCTGGTTGTTCTCAGGTTGTTTTTTTTCTTGGAGTGGCCATTTTTACTCTGGGAGAAAACACCTGTATACTCATGGTTTCTCCTGGGAGAGCAGCAACTCTCCCAGGAGAAACTGAATAGCTGGACAAGGCCTTTGTTTATTAGCATACAGAACAAGAAGGACAGAAGGCCATGATAGGGAAGAATGCCCAAGGGACTCTAAGGGAAAACACTTCCTCTTTTCCATCTTGGGTGTGATTGACACTCCAGTCAGCTCAGGCACCTCAGCAGCCACCAGGGAGACATTACATTTCATTCGTGTGAGTGCAGCCATAAAAAGACCATCATGAGATACTGGAATCCCTTGGGGTCTCCTCCACCGAGTACCAAACACTATTCCCAAGCGTCTCTGAACAGGGGACTTACTATTCCCTTGCTCTTCATCCGTCCCCCTCCCCAGGAACTGGTCCTGAACACTCCACCCTATTCTCAGGACTGAGCACCACCCCTGGCAGACTTTCCTCACTACACCTGTGCATAGCGAAGCAGACCTGAGCCAGCTGAACACTTACCCTACCTGCACTGGGCCAGGGAGCACATCTACCCAGCCAATCTCCAATAAGGGTGGGAACACAACCTAGAAAGCCAGTTCCAGCTCAGGAAAGGGAGAAGGGTGGCAGATCCTGTGCACAGGACCTGAAACTGCACAACAGGGTCAGCAGCAAGTTATATTAACTGCCTCTTTCCCCAGCAGCCACTAGGTGCAGAGAAGGTGGTGAGGAAGAGACAGACATTTCCTAGGTACCTGCAGGCTGTCCCTGGCTGGGAGCAATTGCCATGGCAACAAGCAATGCAAGCCCTCAAGGTGAGATCTAAAATTAGCAGTGGGGCTGCTGCTTCTCATCTCCAGCAGAAACTGCTAGTGAGGGCAGGCAGGAAGCCCCCTGCACAGAGTGATCCAGGGCTAGGGGCACATCAGAGCCTGTTTTCCTCAGCCCTCGGGACATGTTACCTGTGTGTATGTGCTAGCAAGAGCATGTCTCTGCATGGCTGAGTGCTCTACTTAGCACACACTTGCATGAGTTTTGTGCTTTTCTGAGTGTGTGTCATATACTTGTCTGTGTGTGCTGGCAAGCCCAGGTCCATACATGTGTCTGTGTCCCTACCTGCAGGGGAAGCATACATGTGACCATGAGCAGCTGTTTGTGTGTCCTATGGTCTGTGCATATCAGCACATACATGAGTGCGCAAATGGCATGCAAGGGTGAGTGAAGGGGTGTGTGGGTAAGCATGACCACCAGTCTGCAGGAAGAGCTGGGATGCTGCACTGAGGAAAAAGTAAGTAAGTATCTCACCAT